ATATATATATATGTACTGTATATAAACACACTACTAGATAGATAAACATAGAACAAATCAGCAATTGGACATCCAAAGCAAATCATGGAATTGTTTTCTTTAACAAAATGTAGTCTAAATTTTCGACTCATCAAAGTAAGCACCTTTTGCAGATATAACAGCCGAACAGACTTGTGGCATTCTTTCTACAAAAGAAATCAAATATTGTTCGGAAAGTTCTTCTCAACACTGTTGCAGAGATTCCCAGAAATGTGTTGCACTTTTAGGTTGCTTTGCTTTCACCCTTTTTGTCCATCCCAAACCAGCTCTATGGGGTCCATTCCATTATTTAAAGCCTACTATCGTGTTCTTTTCTTCTAAGATCGTTCTGACAAAACCAGGAGGTATATTTAGGATTATTATCTTGCTGTAGGTTGAACCCCTGACCAACTTGTTGTACACCAGAGGGTATTGTATGGCCCTGCAAAATGCTGTGGTATTAGTTTTGGTTCAAGATGCCACTCACTGTTGCCGACTCTGGATCCAGCAAAAGAGCCCCAGGCCATCACACTTCGTCCTCCATGTTTAACAGTTGGTGTCACACACTAAGGAACCATCCCTTCACCTACTCGACGGTGTATAAAAATACTGTGTGATGAACTGCAGATCTTAAATTTTGATTATCGGTCCATAAGACCTTCTTCCATTCTTCAGTAGTTCACTGCCATACTTCATGGCCCAGGCAAACCTCTTTTTCTTATTTTGCCATCTTAGCAATGGTTTTCTTACTGCCACTCGACCTCGACTCGTCAAACCTGCTGCTTTACAGTTGAAACTGAGACTTGTGTAATTCAATCATTGTTAAGCTGGGCTTGAAGCTGCTGTCCTGTAAGCCAATAATCCTGCCTGTAACTTTTCTTAAGGAAAGACCTACACTTTTAAGGGTTATAATGGCCTGTCTGTCTCCCTTTGTTAATTGCCCTTTTCTCGCCATTTTGAGAGCAATATACTACTTCCTATAGCACAATACTGTCCAAATATTGCTTAAGAGGGTGTCGTAACACAGTCTGTTCCAACACTGCTTTTATACAGACATATGGTTTGTAAGTAATCAACAAAAGTTGGGACACCTGTAGGAATTGTTAGCCAAAACTTTCAAGGCTGAATTTACTTACATTGCTGCAGAATAACTGTGAGTTGGTAAAGCGGACCTTTACCCATATCTTTAAAATAACAACAAACACACCTTTCGAAATGTTTAGCAATGACAATCTACAAATACATACTTCTAGATAATTGCCGGCTTTGTATTCTTTGCATATCTTATTTCTCTTTTCTTCCCCAGTCTTCTGACAGTGGCCATGTTTACTAAGAGCAGATTAGTAGCTCTCCTTACTTCCTGGATTTCTGGCACATGTGACTAGACATGTGACTAGGACATGTGACCATGCAATTCATCCCAGGGGAGGAAAATGCCTTTCCCTGAGATCACAGATGAGATTTCCCAGCAATGTTCTGCTGATGACAAGGCAATCCCAGTGTGCATTGATTTGGCAAACTGAAGTCATTTTGCCCTTTCAAAGCAGGAAGTGAATGCTCTGCAAGTGTAAGTATTTCACAATCACATAATTTTACACCTGACATGTCTATGTTATTATTAATCATCATACATAGAGGGATGCATTGCTATAATTTGATTTTTGAGTGTAAAGGTCCATTACTTCTTCCCAGAAAAAGGCCTTATTGTATAACCATTGTACCATTTCAGGTTATTCACTGGACTTGAACTGCTTCTATTTAAATAAAAACTGGGAAAAAAGGGGTGTTCTAAAAATTTGGACCGGTACTGCTCATCTAGTCCTGAGATTTACACAGCCCTGCCACACAGCACAGTACTGCATGTCAGGGAAGGGGACCTGATATTTCTCTGCTGCAATCATACATTTACTTACATGCCTACACCCGCCACCAACCTGTAACTGGAATTTGAAAGGAAAAGCAGCAGCCTCATGAGCCCATCTCATTATTACTCTGTTCTCTCCTTTATCAGCATGTTTCTTGCACTGCAACACACCTGATTGGATCCTCGTGCTGCCTCCCCCTTTTAAAGCTCTGCTGTACATGGACTGCATGAGGCTGATTCCAAGTAAAATCAAGGTACATACACAGCTTACATGAGAAAAAATAAATGTCATGATGTATTAATGATCATAGAGCTGATTTAATTTGTGTATTTTACATCTGCCCTTTAGTTCAGTTTAAAAATGGGATGAGGCATAATCTGATGACATTATTTTGTATAGATGTCAGATTTATGCCCCTTTCTATATATGAAATATCCCATTTTCTTTTGCCTAAAGTACTTATTATAGCAGACAGATGAAATAACAGTGCCTGTATCATATTTTAACTATAGAGACATTGAACAGAATTGTGATCAAAGATTTGAAACTAATTGTTTGTTTTTTTACTTCTCAACCTAATAGACAAAATGAAAAACTGCAAAAGTATGGGCTCAATAACCAAACAATTCTACAAAAATATAAAACATACCTTTACAAATGTATGTCACTGTATAATTTCATGAGGTATCACAATATTACTTTAAAACAAAATCTGAACTCAAGCAGCATCATGAACTAGTTGCAGTTTGCCATTTCACAACACTTAATTTTTGACTATGTGTTGTGCAGTGGCGTACAGCGCTCCTGATTTAGAAATCCTTCTAATCAGTGAAGCATAACAGGTCTATGGTAGGTTGACCACAGCCACTTAGGTTGGGTGGGTTATTGCCATTTATTACTGTTCTGCTTATTAAACATGTAACACTCACGGGAAGAAAGTCTCCATGATAAAAGGTAAGATGTTGCCCCCGTTACTCCAGTCCAGCTCAGTAATGCAGTGTCCCCAATGGTTTCTTTCACTTCAAATGAGTCTACTTTTGGTAGATCCACTTTAAAAGAAAATACAATTCATATTTAGGCACACTTGAAGAAACAAAAAAATGTTTTCACATTATAGCCTCTCTAACCGAATCAGGAAACCTTGACATTGACTGTTATGTCAAATATCACTTATGGCACTTACAGTAGTTCTACATTCTTCTCTGCCTCATATTTGTAAGAGGGGAAGTTGGGGCAATGTGAATCAGTTCTTGGTACATTACAGTCTAGTCCAGCCATTCTCAACCGGGGTTCTGTGGAACGTCATGAGTCGTGGCTCCTCCAGAACTTACTAGGGGTTCCTTCAGCAGTGGTTGATTGGCCTTCTATCTAATGGTGCCTGCATAGTTCCAGGGCCAACAACATATGGTAGAGCCAGCAACATGACACCAGTAATCTTTTTAGTTACCTGTAAGAGTGGCATTCTGACCACCACTGTAAAAGGTGTCCTTCCCACCGACCACCAATGTACCATTGATTTTTCCCACTGATCCTCGATGATTTGGTTTAAGCCCCCAATTGCTTGTTGCGCATGAGGCAGCCCATTTATTTAAATGAACTTCCCTATGCATTACAGATGTGGAAAAGAAGCTCATGCACCTTTTGGAGCTTCAAGCATTTCTTAATTGTGCTTTTTTTGTGCTTTTGTCGCATGTGTTTGTGTGTGAAAAACATACGTTTTGCTTGGTGCGTTTGAGGTGCCATTAACATTGTGTGCTACACAAGTGTAAATTGGGGTTGAACAGGGGTTCCCTGAGACCTGAAAATTATTTTAAAGGTTCCTCTGGTAAGATGTTAAGAAAGGCTGGTCTAGTCACTCATCTTTTCAAGTTATAATCTATGGATAGAGATAAAAGAAATTTAAAACTCAACCCTGTGTCTCTGTTAGCAAGAGTGTCTTACTTAATACTGGTCTCTTTAATCCTTTTCATACAGTTTTGTACTAACCAAATTAATTCCTTGCCCTTTCACAGTTTTCATTGCTTACATTTCTGTGATGTTCACCAGTATTCAGTTTACAATTTATTGCACAGTTTCTATTACAAAACAACTATAAATAGATTTATCTTGTCAACTCACACGTTTTTGCTGTGAGAAGAACAGGACTTCCCTCTCTGTTTCCAACAATTGATGAAACGTAGATGTTATAAGTGGCGCTTTCCTTTAAATCAGGTATATTGAAAAATGAGGCATCTGCAGAGACAATCTTTGAGTTTCTAGCTCCACCTAGAGGTATTAGAGAAGAATCGATTCACAACAGCTGCAAATTATTTTAATTTCATGTAAAAAAAAACATTTTTAGCATAAATAAAAAATATGTGCATAGATTTCAGGCTGGGCAGTTGCTTGAGGAAAATGTGGATTTCACATTTTGTAGTTTTAACATAATGTCTATCATACAATAAGAACAAAACAAGTTAATGCATTGCCTGAACAAATTGCACTGTTGCCAACATTCCTCATAAAATGGGGCAAAACAGGAAAATAAAAAATTGGTAAAATATTTTTTTGTAGAAAAGTCCAAAAGGGGGACAAGTACAGCATGAAGGGTAACATTTTTTTACAGCTTTCCTCCTACAAGTCTTAATATAGTGGCTGTCAGGGACAGGGGTCCATATCCACAGGGATCAAACCTGTTCAGGAGATTACTGCAGCATACCAAAGGGTTCATGGATACACAAGTGTCATAGAGGCACATTGGGCACGGAAAGTGTCACTTGGGTGCAATAAGAGACACAGGGTGCACTAGAGTGACTGGGGTGACTGGGTGTCACAGGACACTAAGAGTACTCTAGAGTCACTGGCATCGTGAGGTGACACAGGATGCCTTGGAGCCACAGGGTTGGCACAGGATGCCAGAGTGCTCTTAAGTCACAAGGGTCATAGGGTAACACAAGATGCTCAGGGTGCTTTGGAGTCACTGCAGTTATGAGGTGACACAGATAGCAGCAGCACACAGAGGATACTGCAACAGGGGGTATCAGCTTAGGCGCTGCTTGGCAATCAGGAGAGGGTCCTCCTGATTGGCTGTGGTGCTGGCACTACAGGTTAAGCATTATAACCAAAACTTTATGACCGGAAAGAGAAGCAAAGCTCTTCAGTGATGTTGATCTTCAATTTTTTTAATTCTGAGATTAAACTAAAGTCTTTCTGCATAGCACCAAGTGCTGACATTTTTGGGGAACCAGGTATTGGCAAAGGAAGGTGTGGATGCTTGCCACCGACAATGAAAAATGGGGACTCCTTGGTGCTAGCATTAAAATGGTTATTGTGGGCAAATTCTGCCCAAGGGAGAAGGACAACCCAATTTTCATGATTGGCAGATATTAGGGCCTGAAAGTATTGTTCCAAGAATGGATTGATCATTTGAGTTTGTCTATTAGTCTGTCGCTGATAGGCAGAGGGAAACTCCATGGAAATGTCCAGAGACTTACAGAGGCCTTGTCAGAATTGGGAGGTAAATTGTACCTCATGGTCATAAAAATGTGGGTTGAAATGCCATAAATCCTGCTGATGTCGCGGATAAAGGTGCCATCTTGGAAAGCACTCTACCACTACCTGTACAACTGCCGAAAGGAGGGAGGTGGGAAATAAGTTTTATAGTGAGGTGGCACTAAGGTTCTCTGGGAATGGGTAGTAGAAGCTCTTACATAGGGGTCTATTCACAAAGCTGCCGAGGGCAGCCGAGTGAATGACCGATCAGAAGTGAAGTGAGCCGAACACTGTTCGGCTATTCACTTCAGGCTGGTACGGCTGATTTCAGCCGTACATCGGCTGAAATCAGCCATACATCGGCTTGCTTCGTGTGGCTTCGGATCAGCCGAACATGCTCAGCATGTTCGGCTGACCCGAAGTGCAAAAGGAGTTCGACTCAGCCGATCCAACATCTGGATCAGGCTATTGTGAATAGCCCGTACAGCACCCCCTCGGTTCTACTGAACCGAAGGGGTCCTGGGGTCGAAGCTAGCCGAAGGATCGGCCGAAGCTACGGCCAGATCCCTCGGCAGCTTCGTGAATAGACCCCATAGTCTTTTAGATCCCTTCAGACATTGCAATTCTCTGTCTCATTGATCACAGTGTAACAAATTATTTTCATTTTCTTAGTGGATATCTAATAAGGTCTTACCAGCGAATGGAACCCATGATATTTTATAGTGAGTTATTCCAGGTGTTTTCTTCCAGGACAATTTGAGAGTGTTAACTCCAGTATCAATTACCTGCAGGTCCTTAACTGGAAGTAACTGAACAGGATTGGAGTCTGCAGCGAGATAGGGAAGAGTCAGAGACTGCAACATGACATCAGGAAATGTGTAACTAATATTATAAACCTTGTCAAGCTTAAAAACAATCTGTCTTATTTATACCAATCAGGTTCCTCCCTTCTTATTTCTAACTTGCATTGGAAACACTAAAGGTATAATCTGATAAATTGGTTACACAGTTTTGTCTTTACAAAAACACTTCCATGAATGAGATATAGTTTAACCTGAGGGGAAGCAAAGCAAATATAGATTTCTAGATTATACTTTTTAAACTGCAAAAATATACAAATTATTTAATCTGACATGTCTGTCAAGTGATCTCCACAATTTAACTATATTCGATTTTAAGCAGAACTGTCAGGCTTATTCTGAATGGAAAAAGGCAATCAATAACTATAGGAACCAATCACAAATGTTCTTTCAGTTATCTACGTTCAGTAGTGAAATTCAATTAGTTGCTCTGGATTATTACACACTCTCATTCTCTCAGTAAATCTTAAATAGGAAGTATTGCCATATCTTTAAAATCTTTATTAAATCCCCTAGGGGACCAAGTATATGGCGCACCTGGGCCCATTCCTAATCTGTCCTTTGGTTGCTGAGCAGCATGGCCTGACAGCTCACCACTCCTACCCCACCTCTGTCCGACCAAGCTGCTCTAGGAAATAAATACTAATAAGGGCTGATTGGCAGCGCTGGTCTCTAGCAGAAGGCACATGCCATAATTTAGCACAGCAGAGAGAGGGGGTCAGCTCCATTCATAAGTCAAAATTAAAAGATCTGTGTGATTTGTCTGCTAATGCAGTGCATGTTCACTAGCACCTTTAGAGAGATCACACACATGATCTATCATGCAGCGCTAACTGCTCATTCACAACAGTAAACAATCAGTCAGCACCGGTGGGGCTATGTGATCTATCTGCCAGTGCAATATATGTTTACAAAAAGCCCTGCAGTGCTGACTGTTCAGTCACAATAGTAAACTGACTGTCAGTGCTGCAGGACTGTAGAGGCAAATAGATCACACAGCCCTGCAGTACAGCTTTAGCCTGGGTGGTGCTACCGCGCACCCCATACAGATATAAAAATGTAATTTTAATGCACAACGAGGCTACAGATCAGAACAGGACCAAGTGCTAATGGACTTGGTCCCCTGGGAGAATCAAGAAAGTTAGTAGCCAGTACTGTCTAAAATAGTTAGTAGTACTATCTAAAGTTCATAGCTTTGAAATGATGTTATAGTAAATCGGTCTATAAAAAGATAATATTTCAAAGAGAATTAATCATGAGCATACTATTTTCCAGTTTTCATGCTATTGCATTATTTTGATAGACAACTAAAGAAAACTGATGATGTTGCTTACCAGTTGTTTGAATGAGGGTGGCTGGTGGCCCTTCTGTGTTGCTGTAAACCGCCTGCACATTTACTATGTACCTTGTGTTCTGTTGTAGGTTTGTTAAGTGATGTGACCTGATTGTGGGTGCCAAATACTGGCTTTTAGGGGTGTCTGAAAATGGTAAATACATATACCATTATTACAACATAATATCTATAGGCTGTAAATGAACAAATTATATAACTCTCAAAAGAGGGTATTATCTGCCAGTATAAAATCAAAAAAAATTGACAAAAATAAGTCAAATGCATACTGAGAATAATAAAAATCATGGAAGTGACACAACCTGATGATGCAGGGCTCCAGGACACTTTATATTCAGTGGCTCCAGTGGTTGAGCTCCAGGCTAGTGATATGGAAGTACTGGTGTACCCCGTCACTTTGAAGTTGGATACATATCCAAGAGGTGCTGCACAACATAACAGGTTAAATTATGCAAAAGGGTGCAGAAAACAACATTATTCTATAGCAGTATTTGAAAATATTTTAAAGTATTTGAAAGATATTACAATGTAAGAGAGTCCAATTGCTGAAACAGGGCAGATCTAGTGCAGGGTTAATTGGAAAATTCAAACAGAGCATATGGTGAAACAATAAATAAGCTGAGGTTAAAGGAGAACTGAGGGTCACGGGAGAACACAAACTGGATCCACCCAGCTGTGGGATTGACAGCTGGCTCTGCCTATCCAGAGGCAGAGCCAGCTGTGCCCGCCCCCTCCCCTGTCCGTTTCGCCAGTCATCGCTGGAGGATCGGACAGGGGAGGGGGGGAAACCCTGCAGGAAGACTGTCACTCACAGCTGTCTGCAGGGATAGATGGAGAAGTGAACGAGCGACGGTATGTGTTCGCTCACTTTCTGATCTATTGAGCCGACCTGTGACAGTTTCATTGTCACAGGTCGGCTCAAATTATGAGACTGAGTGAAAATTCCTCGCCTCATAATTCTCCTTTAATGCCAGTGAAAACTGTAGGTGAGAACAATGAGCCAATGCACAAATATAGGCAGCTGAAATGATGTGCAATTCTCAATTTTTCCTGTAAAAGGGGAGTTTGATCAGAGCACCTTTTACCACTTCAGCCTTCCTATTGGTTTTATAATTTGATTGGCAGTGACCAATGGGGAGGCCCAAAAGGCTTGCACAATTTTTTCAAGACAAGCCAAATTTATATATAATGTCAGCATCTTATATTTCCTGATCTACTGATTGTTTTATCCTGTAATGATAACCTAAACAGACTCTCTCCCATTCAGGGCAAAGTAACAGGTTCTCTTGTAACAACAACAACCCCCATCCCCACATGTAATTCCATGTGTCGAATGGTGTTGGATCTTACAGGGGGTCAACCTTTTGCAGTCCTCAAATGGTGTTGATTTTGTCTGTTTATTATATAGAGAGTATTGTGAACTCCACCAATTATTTGCTCAGGCCTGAGCAGTGCATCCTTGAATGAGGTCACATTCTCCTCCTTACCAAGAACTACCAGATACAGATTTACAGAGAGCTTCAATGGGGCAGTAGAGAAGCATGATAAATTTGAGTATCAACAAGTGGGGAGTTGTTCATAGACGAGAACATGTCACTTTGCTGTGAATGGGCAAAGTGACAGATTCCCATTCGGATAACTTATGCATACACCAGTTCCTGAAGCTGCCTTATAGTTACTGTGTTTTGTGGCATGATAATCTAATTCTTCCAATGTAAACGCTTTAGTGAACAGGGTAGTGGTTTCACAGTTCAAGTTGTCACTGTCTTCTATGAAATGTTGCATTACATTTCAGATGTGCTAACCTGAGTAGCCCCACTCTCACATTGGTGGCTGTACTGCATCAGTGCAGGGACAATTATTTTATTAAGTATTGTATGTTACTGGTAAACCCCCTCTGCACCGAGAAATTGGTTTAAAAGACCTAACACTCTCATACATGTGGTCCATCAAGGAAAAAGGTAAAACAAATGACAATCAAATGTTAATAATCAGGTTATAATCCCATGCAAGAAATAAGGAAAGTAAATAAACAACTATACCAAATAAAAAAGTTTAAGACTGTTGGCTGAAAGGAGGGGTCATTGATATCCATTAGCCAAAATAAGGCTTTGCTAAATCCACCCCATGTCCCCAGATGCACCCCCACTGGCTGGAGGACAGTTCCAGAATTAACTATTCCTTACTTCCCAGGGTGCTGAGCCCCATCAACAACTGCCAATAAGGGGGGGAGCATCATGCCACCAGATGGCCACCCATTTTGTGACTGTCTCCCATATTTCACACCCCCAAAGTCCCCCTAACCTGCCAAGCTGCCCTGACAAATACATATATATATTTCAACTGCCATCAGTGAATGAGGGAAGGTAGGTGGGACAAACTGCTTCTTGCATCAACCTTCCAGAAAGAACTCCCAGTATCCCCTGCAGGTCCTACCGGTGCAGCTCCTCCATACCACCTGAGGTCAAATCTGGTGTTTAGCTCTAATCTTTATTTCTTTCCCCGAGACAATTCTTCCACCGAGCCATGTAGCCCCTCCTCTTATTATCTCCAGGTCTGTCGTTTGTCTTGAAAGCAGTGAGTTTGAAACTTGAAAATAGTAACACTCCTCTTTAAAAAATGTGCACTGATTTTGCAGGGTTCAGGACAATCCAGTTATCTGAATGATCAATTATACTTACATGTTCTGGCTGTTGTGGAGATGCCTGGTCCCACAGCAGAACCAAAGAGCACGTACAATGAGATTACATACTCCGTATTATGTACCAGGTTCTTCAGCTCAAAAGATGTAAGTGTACTATTCAGTGCAAGCTGGCGGGGACGATCTCTGCCAAAAAAATCTAAGGGGTTAAAGAAGTAAAGTATAATTGTAGTAATTTGTAATTTTTACAAATAATAAAGGTGTAATTTACCTATTATACATTCACACTAAAATGTGGGCAGTGGAAAACTACCGTATTACCCTTCAGACAATGTTCTTTAAAATACTAATTGCTATGCAAGAAGAACTGCCAGACAAGTTCACCCAAATCTTGTGTCTGTGGATAGAGAATTTTCTACTTCCCATGTTTGAATCTTGATCCTTATCAAGAAGGCCTAAAGAGCCTTACTAACCCCTGGCCCCATTGTTCCATCTGATTCCCTTCCTAGAACATTATCCCCTACGTCTTTAGGTTCTGGGTAACTCCCTTTCCCCCATCCTCGAGGCCACAGGAAGGGGCTCCCCCTATTCGCCAATGGCAATGGCAGCCTGTGTGTTCTGGGTCTGTATAATCAAGTAACCAACATTTTCAGGAGGAAATCAGCAATGGCAGCCCATGTGTCTCAATGAATAGATCAGTGCATGATCACAGTGCATAGCTATGATATGACTAGCTTATAACACTAATTGTTATCTAAATTCTATTTTTCCATGTATTTTATGTACATTCATTACCTGGCGTGGGGCCCCATGCTAGCCTATATCCAGTAGCACCAGGGACTGCATTCCATGTGATAAGTGCTGTGTTGATGGATACTGTGCTCACTTTAAGATTTTGTACTGAACTTGAGGCCACTAGAAAAATAAATAAAGTCAGCATAAAAAATTAGGGATAAAATGTTGATTTCATGTTTTTTCATGAAACTTCAGAATCAAGACATTCATTTAACAAAACATAAAGTTAAGACAGTTATGTTGAATAGCTATCAGGTTATTCTTGCAGTACATGTATTCAAAAAACTAGGTTGTGTAGTTACTAAATACACAAGCTTGACAGAAAGGCCAAATATTTAGTTATTAATAATTATTTCCTGTTGCAATATAATCCTGAAATAAACTTATTTATATTATCAGCTATCCCATAGGAAATACTTTTAAAAAGTGTAACTGACTTTAAAGCAATATATGGCTGATCCTGCAAAGATAAACTTCTTTACCAGGTCATGTTGCCATTCCATTGTGAACGCTGAAGTATTGGGTGGGCACCAGATGGCACAGTTACCCATCGGCTTCTTATATCTATTAAAGTCTTTAGTGTTGAAGCATCCATGTGTAGACACAGATTGTACAGGGCTTTCTGCAGTATTCCTTGTATCACCTTATGAAGAATGCAGCAGGTAGAACTTGACACCCTTGAAAGAACATTACTATAGGATGAGCCAGAGATAAAAAAAAAATGACAATCTTCTGCTCAGCAACATACATTGCAAGGATTGCAACTTCATTGCACAGTCCTACCTGGTGCTTTTTTATGTGGAAACCTATAGCACTACCTGCTATAATCACATGGTTATTCTTAATGTTGTCATAAGGAAAAAAACTATTGGGAAATAATCGCAGGAAATTATATTTCTGCATTCTCTACACCAAACACATACAGAATACTCCCACACTAATGTATACCATGGTTTTAATAAAAGTAGAGTTACTCTTTAAGAGCCTCATGGGTTAATTATGCCACCAAAATCCACTCTAGATAATATGCATTTTAAATACACTCATAAACCTAAAATCAGAATACTCTGCATTGCCAGTGACTGTATTCAGTAGTATTGAATCCCACCTTCTCTAACAAATATTTGCTTAACTTTTCATCCATAGAATCAAAAGTTAGTGAACATTACTATTGGTAGCAGACCACTTCAACACTTTGAATTTTTATTTAGTTGACCTGTTAAATCTTAATTAATGTAATTTGGGAGTAAGCTGAAAAAAATCCTGACTGCCTCTCCACTCGTTTACTCAGCACTTTTTCCTGTAGTATGTTTACAGACACTTCAGAGAAAGTGCTGTCCAGAAAAGACGATTATGGTTGTTGACATTAAATCACCTATGCATGAGGATAAACAAAATAGTAGCATAGCAAAAAGGTTCTTGAGTGTAGGAACACATTTGGAGCTTTCCATAAGCCACAATTGCCAAAAGCCAAAATGTATCATAAACTATACTGTTAAAATACTTACAGGTTGTTGCTTTAGCAGTAAGAACAGGGCCTTCAATGTCTACAAAAATGGGGTTGATAGTTACAGTATATTCCATGCCCGTCTGCAGCCCTTGAATCATGTATTGAGTGTAACTATCTGCCAGGTTAATGTTTTGGTCATAACCCTCTGTAAAGGACAAAATAATAATTATTATTTTAGTAAACAAAAAAATGTTTGTACACTTTCTTGTAAAACATTTACTTTCATTGGCAGCAATGTATTTGCAAACATGTATGTTAACAGGTGTCCCCTCATCTCCCGTACTACTAGCTAAATTTTGGATTTCCCACCACTTTTTGGTGACAATGGACAATGTGCTATGTTTAATAGTTTGTATTCTTGCTACTTGTGATGAATGCAAAGACCTGAATGACCCAACAAAGGAAGGCAATTCTATAGGTTAAGACTAAAGGTCAAGCAGTTTTTTTTACACCTTAAGGAAAAGGGACATTCTTCCTAGGACAATAAGCATCACTTTACTAAGATACAATGGCTGTTGGGATGAGCTTTGGGTTTTGGTTGAATGCGTTCGTCCTGAATACTGCCTGTTAATGGCTTTGCGAGCCACCAAGAAAACTGGCCAGTTTAAGCCAGTTCACTCGCCTGTACCCCTGACTTTGGTTTGTAAACAAATATGTGGTAAGTGATGTCACCTATGATGTCCAGCTGACTTATTTACAAACAGCAGATGGATGGGGCTCTGTCATTTGTGACAGGAATAGCAGTGGGAAAGTATGGATGAGCAATGGGACATTGTGACTGTGCTGAATTTACATTTTACAGGGGTGGCAATTTATAAAAGGTCCTAGTCCAGGCAAGCAGCCTGGTTGGCTAGGAAAGGGAGCATGGGTCCCCCTTCCTCTTCAACCATACCTGGCAAAAACTGGGAGGGTGCCTTGCAAGTGGGAGCAAAAAAGACTCCACCTCCTTGCAAGGCACATTGGTCCTCATGTTGGGAGGACAAGCACCTTATCTTCACATCTAGTCACTGGGAGGATGTAGGGGTTTAGTATGTGTGTGTGTGTGTGTGGAGGGGGGGGGGTTTATCATAATCTAGAAGTCTTCTTTATAATAAAGAGGCCACCAGATATTGGCCCTCTTACTATGGGAATGATTCTGGGTATATGAGTAGCCCTTCTTACTCATTCCCTAAAAATGCAAAAAGTAAATAGAGCCTCCGACAATGTGAACAAGTCCTTTATTTAAAAAATAAATACATTTGGTCCACTGGCTCAAGGCTCAATGTTCCACAATACCACAATATAAATCCAGTAAGAATCATGTCATCCTTAAATGTAGTCAAAATGTCAATCATGATGACCCACCGCTACTGAGATACGCCATCCAGAGGAAGACCCCTAACTTCTTGCAAAGCTTTAAGGCATGTTTTTTTTAAAGATTTGTGTATCTTCAATGTTTCCCTGTTAGCTGCATTAAAAGACCCTCTCCCCACTGAACAGTATGGCTAACCAAGCTGACCTAGAAAAAGGCCAGAAAACAAATTACAATATTCACCACCCATAGACATTATTAGGGTTCAGCACCATATTTGAGATTCACAGACACTGGGTCCACCAAATCTCCTGCGAATTGAACTTTGATTTCCTGCTTTGATTTTCTACTTCAAAACATTGGGTATCAAGAAACATGTTTAATGTCAAAAAGCAATTAAGGAAAGTTTTCCCACCTAAAGATGACCAAGTAAGACGATATCCAGTCGCTCCTCTCACTTTAGTCCAGTAAGCCTGAATTGTTCCAGTTGTGATGTTCTGCAATGTCAAGCTTTTTACAGGAACCAGCTTTACTAGAAGTAAAAATAAAAATGAACAAGGTGTGGATACAAATGTATAAAGTCTTCGAAGCCAACAATAAAAGCCAAGAAAAAATAGCAGAGAACAATTAGATGAGAGATTCATTATATGCTCACATTTTTTTAAAGTTAAAGTGGACTTAGCATCAGATATATTATTTCATGTTATGTGCATGCATACTAAGTAATGTATAAGTATAACACAGGTTTTATATTTCATCTCAGATATTACAGTAATCCCCCTGGCAGTGATTTTATGTATTGCTTTTCTCTCCAGATGGATGACACCAACTTTGTTTTAGGCACCGTCCAATTCATCTATTTCCTAAGATGTTGCTCAACCATGACAACCATGTTGGCTCAGAGATGATACAACAATACAGCTATACAGCTCACAATGGTCTGACTGATAACACTTATCTTGTGACGTGCTACAAAATTACAATGTACAATCTACTTGTGGAGAGAAGACTGAGGAAATGCTTCCTTCAGCCTGCAGGATACTGATGACATCATCTTAACCTAGGCTTAGTCATGGGACTGGAACTCAAAGACAGCTTTTGAATGATTAAAGGTATAGGTTTTTTAAATTATACTTCTGATGTATATTGGTAGATGTCTGAAATGTTTTAATAGACTTATTATCTTGTAAAGTTACTGATAGGTCAGCTTCAACACTTCAAAATCTGATTTTTATTTATATGAGTTACATAATTTTTCTTTTGAAATATACTGTTTCTGTATGTTGTGACAAGTCCAAATCGTATTCAGCAGGTTTGTAACGTTACTGTAAGGTTTACCTTAGTAACTTTATATCCATACTATCAATCTGCTTAAAATGTTGTAAACAGAAAAACTGCAATATAACTCTTTTGAACCATAAAGCATGAAACAACAGTGATGGCTGGTCTTCCTTCGTAAATAGGGCATTTCTGGCACTAAAACTATGACATAGCTTTCTCTTGGAGCATAATAGTCAGTATTCAACAAAACGTATCCCTGCACAGGAGAGTTTATTATGCAGAAACAGGAGGGATTGTTAGTATAGGGTGACAAGGGATAATGTCAATGGACCTCCACATAGGGCATCACTCACTAGGAGGTCTGTGCTGAAAACTAAAAGCACTGCCACCTAAAGCTATAATACTGCAAATTCAGCGTTTCACATTTTGAAAATATTGAAAGCAATATCATTTTTTCTGTGAAAATTATACATCATTGAATTTATGGGATATATAACGTATTCACAGCAAATTCCACTCAGCTCATGAAAAAAGTTGTGATTTTATTCTGGTTTTGGCATGTTAGTTATTCCTTACTAGCTTTTTTCCATACTGTTACTGATTATAAATAAACACATTCAGCAGATCATATTATTATTCTACAGAAACAGTTTTTAGAGTGTATCAATTAACTATTCAATATAGTGTTTATCTTCTAACAATTCACTTTGAAGGTCACAATATTTGCTGAATTCATGTTCTAGCAAGGCTAATTAGTTCACTTACATGTACGTCCCATTGCAGATACAGGCTCGCTTGGTCCTTGTGGGTATACAGCATAGATGCTGACAGTGTATTCTTTGTCTTCTTCTAAATTATCAATAGTGTGTGAGGAAACATCTCCCTTTAAAATGTGTTCATATGTAAACCCAGGTCTGTTGGCTAAAGAAAGTAAAATAAAACTTGTCAGAGAAAAATAATGTTATCTAGGCCAAAGTGGAGCTATCGTTACAATTTATACTTGACACATAGTTAGCATTTCCAAGTAATATGACTGTTTAAAATAAAACCTCTTTCTTTAGTTCCCCTAATGAAAGCTAGGCAACCTAGGCCATCTGGTCTGTGCCTATCCTAAGAATCTTATGCTTATGCTTCAAGTCAGTGGAGACTGCAGAGAGTCTGTTGTTTTCAATAAGGCATATCCTGTCTGGCAGTAAGATAAGAAGATCATGGCTATGCACAACATTGTGCTGCACATGTATTGGGCAATATGTATATGCCCTTAAGGCAGTTTTATTGCACTGTGGAATAGTAGTCAGCAGGGCTTAGCCATCAAGTCAGGAAAAGTCAGGCCATGTAACAAAGTGAAAGTAAACATAAAGGAGATGAGTAAAGGGTAGAATTAGGCACATTACTCGTCTGCAGAACTTACTTTTAAACTCTAAATAACGAATTCATCACTACAGCCAACTATATGAAAAATTTGAAAATTAAATAATTATGGTTTTCACAGAAATATAAAACATGTTTTAGCACAATAAATTGGGTACTAGAAACTACAGATCAATCTTTTATGGTTTTGTAGATAATTTGAATCCAGATTGTCATCTGTCCACTGTCAACCATTATAAGCTTGTTCGATTAATAGCTAATCTCACACACACATTCTTAGTATAGAATTACCAAATATTTCTTTGTACTGTGCTACTTACATCGTGGGATATAGATCTTGTAGCCCTCCAGTTTTCCCAAAGGAGGAGTCCAGGCTACTTTTAAACCAAAAAGTCCTTCATCTATGACTCGGAAATTGGTTACAGGAGGCACAGCAGCTTTCAAATATAAATCAATTGGAATACAGTATTACTATGTGTCTATTAATGATCTGTACAACTAGATCTACAGCATCACATGAATGCTAGATGAATGGTCTCTATTGAAATTTTTTTTAATTTTACATTTACAGTAACAATAGTCTTCAATTGTATATAATTACTTAGTCATGATACTCAAGACATGTAATGGCTATGGTACTGTGCTAGGGGAAAAAAAACAAAAAAACATTTCGATATTATAACCCTGGGTCACTTTATATTAGGGCTTTTGCCACTATGAGTGTCCTACAGATCCTGCAGACAGAAAGTGGTTTAAGTATATAAAAAAAATATAGCTACATTTAAAATTAAAGTAGGCCTGTCATGAGACAAATAAAGGGGGTGTCATTACTGACCACTTCCTCCAAATGCCAATTCTGTGGCAGTTTTGCTAACCCTCTATTTATTTCAACTATGAAATAATGCATCGTTATTTCATCTCAGAGTTAGGAAATGAAATAACTATGTATATTAGGAAAGTCAGAGAAAAGTTATAAGTCCTTAGCATACTTGTTATGGGTCAGTGTTTCTGAGGCAAGAAGGTCAGCATATTGGCCAGGGAACTAGCATCATTCAGATGAAGAACTCATCAAAGGCGCATCCATGTTTCTCTCATGACAGAAATTACTTTAATTTACCTTGTAGATGCCATTTTCTTGGAGACAAACACATTGGCCATTTTTGTGATGGCAGGGAATGTCGCAACATTCCAAACTTTTCCGCCAGACTTACTGGAGATTACATAAAGTAATCACTGGGTTTGTAAAATGTTTAGGGTTTGAGTACTAAATGGTGGTACAGTATTAGCTGATGACAGTAATATATTTGTAAGAATAAATACGTTGGAAAATATTGTTCCAATAAATAAGCTGTATGATAAAACAAATTGTGTTAGAGTCATGAAAGGATTTGTGAAGATGGACAAGTTCAACATGCTTTTAGATGCATTCAACTTGCATATTAAATTAGTTTACAATGCTTTTGAGTGATTAAAAAGTGGAAGGTACACTGGCCAGTTACACAAAATACAATGGATCTACATATATGTCACGGAGTGGACTAAATGTATCTTTCAAGTCTCTAGGAAGCAGTGCAGGAAAGTTCCCATTAATGTGCTAGATGAGATAATATAGTAATAAGGGAAAGTAAGTTCCATTTAGTAGAGCTGAAGCTGGGTATATACAATCAGATATTAGTTTAGTTAAAAAAATTGATTTTCAGAATGTTCATTACATTTTTTACAGTTAATGGGGTCAAATCGCCAATTGTTTTCGGCCACAGTGATGAAAAAAAAGGAGCAGGATGGAAAATTTTCCTCGAATGACCAAAATTAGAACAGTGAATGTGGTTTTCTTTCGGTCAACTCCAATCATTCCAGAATCAAAAGCTAAAATCAGACAAAATTTCAAATGACATTTGTCTAATGGCATTATTGAATATTGTGGCAAGAATTTTTGTATCAACCAAAAATCTACCAGTGTAAACACAGCTTAGGTTTTCCTAAATCTTAAAAAAATATGTTTTTTTCCTTGTATCAATACTTGATCATTCTGCCAGACCAGTAGTAAAACCAATACAAGTGTTTATTGTCTTATACATCAGTCTATTCACATATGTGATGTATGTAGGGATGCACAGATACTTTTCGAGTACCAGTGACGATACTTGGCATTTTCATGAGAACTACCAGGGTTGCAGCGGTTGCAGCTGGGACCGGGCTCTGGCGCTCAACCACTGTCCTGAAATCATTAGTCTGTATCGTTTTAGAAAAACTGTCACATGACAATAAACAAAAATGTATCAGTACTCGTACTTGTAAGTACTCGGCAAGTACCAGTACTCTTACTGACAAAACTGGTATCTGTGCATCACTTTATTTATATTTATAAAAACAAAATCGAACATTAAAACATTGATGTACAAATCCCAGGAGCTCCGTGTGCTCCTTACAAATGACAGCTGCCTCCTAACTTTTGAATTTTTCTCTAGTCTAGTCTTGGAGCTCAAAAGTATTGGTACATGTACTCGTACTTGTACCGAGTACTGTACTTGGTATCTGTGCAACCCTAGACGTATGCATTGATAAAGTTTGATCAAATGAAAAAAATTATGAGTCAACAAATATTTAGTGCGTTTTTAAAAATAAAGCAAAGAAAACTTACTTGTTTTTCCTCTAATTGTAGCTGACTCTCCTATGACATTAGGGTATATAGCAAGCACAGTAAATAAATATTCAGTGGTTGGCTTAAGATCCGTCACCAGCACTGTGTGTTTGTCTTTGTCCAACATAATCTGACAAAAAGATTAAACATAAAGAGGGTTCTCTTTGACTAAGCAATGTAAAACAAAAAAAAGTAAGAAAAGGAAAGTATTCTTTGCTTAACTGAACCCAGATGAAAAGATGAGATCATGGCAGAATAACGCAGTGACATCACCACATTGTCCAGGCGCCCCTATTGTTTGCCTATGAGGCCTCCATATATATGCTGCTGTGTAGGGTAGCTTTCAGGGAACCTTGATCGGGTTACTGGAAGCCAGCAAAAAAAAACAAAGCATGCACAGGTTCATAGGATCCCTATGGGTGTGCAGGGTGGGCAGCCAAGAAGGCGCCAACCATCCTCTTGTATCTGGAGGCAGCTCCACTGTAGTTTAGGTAGTGAGTAAGATTACTCTATTGGTGTGCACAAACACAACAATAAAAACTGGAACAAAAATTATATTGAAACATCTGATGTAAACAATTTCATTTGTTTTGCTTCAAAAGAACAGAAGATCCTCATAAAAAGCCACACAAACAGTGAAAGTAATCCAACGAAGAACATCAAGTAAAGTTTGGCCCTTCTAGTTTAGTATACTGAGTTTTACTTACACAATACATGCATGCCATTTATGTGATCACACATCTGTCTGTATGAAAGCAACATTTCACAGACTTACATATTAACTGTTCTGTCATCTGTTTTTACTAGAACTAGAGGTTTTAGCATTCTGCTACTGAAGGCTGTATGGGCTTTGTAATCTCAGACCAAAAGAGCTGAAAATGCTTTGAATTTAGTCTCTTGTGATTTATTTATTATCAACATTAACACACCAGCTGAATCTAGGGTACCCATAAACATGAGGTAACAACTGCACAGTGAGGCTGTATTTGGGTGGATCCAGAAACAATTTTATGCCCATGGGCAGCACACATGATGCATGGCACATCAAAACAGAGTAACCAATCAGAACTCATCTTTTACTTATCTCTTACTTTAGTACATAGACATTTGCTTTCTTTTACTTTGTACATTATGCTAGCAAGGTAGAAAACAGATCCTTTAAAAAAATCTACACAATTTCCAGTAATTCTAGGTTTACACTACAAAAAATATAATTAAACATATTTAAGTGAACCAAGTGTTCACTCCTTACCTGTTTCTGGTCATTTGTATTAAGACGTCCAGAGGGTGTGAGAGAATTCATGACAACTTGGTAACCGGTAACATCCCCTGTGGCAGGACTCCAGGTAATGCGCATGGAGCTGTAACTTTTTTCACTCACAATCAGATCTCTTGGACCAATAATTTTTTCATCTGGAAGGAAAATGCAAATGCTTTATAAAATAATCTACTTAAACTAAATAAAATCATTCCCTGTGTTTTTCCCTGTAGCTGAACAATATAAAAACATTTCATAAAAAAAACTATTTGTAAAGTGAATGTGGGCAGAACATAACCACCAAAATAATGTTAAAAGCTTCTACCACTTCTACATAAATATATGGCATCTTTGTGTCTCTACAAATCAGAATTTAAGTCACCTCAGAATTACAATGGAGTATGATATGATAGCTCCAGACTCCTGTCCTGAGTCACAGAATACTGAAAGTTTAAAAAAAAAAACACATTTCCTTTTCTCTATTCTGCATAACTGAGCAGCTGTCACACTGCAATGATGCATGACATAGCATGGAACAGACATTGAAAAAAAATATTTTACAAAACTTTCAGCCTGGGCTACAAACCAAGAATGTGTTACATTTAAAGCAGGATACAGCAACACCATAATTAACAAGACATTTCTAATATTTTTATCTTAGAAAATTAAATTCATAAATTTAAAAAAAAACATCTAAAGGCCAGAAACAGTACTCTCTACCTTGCCTAATCAAAACACTGTGGTATATTCCCTTGTGAAGAACTGCTCCTAAAGAATTCCTAAATTAGAACCAATAAGGGGCAAAGTAAAAATATAATTGCTAGGTACAGTAACCCAGAACCTAATTTTCAATCTTGAGACACATACAGTGAGCCTACCTGCTCATATACCCTTGTGAAGAACTGCTCCTAAAGAATACCTAAATAAGAACCAATATGGGGCAAAAGAAAAATATAATTTGCTAGGTACACTAACTCAGAATCTAATATTAAATCTTAAGACACACACAGTGAGCCTGCTTGGCCATGGTAATTACATAAGAGTTAAGGTTCCCTTCAAAGCAGAAAAAGTCTGCTCTCTGAACTGGAGTCATAATTCACAACAATGTTGACCACAGACACTGATAGGAAGGTTAAGTTATCTCGACTTTGTCATTAAACAAAAATGTTGCTATTGTCCATCTGTTAGCAAAAGCAACAAGCTATTCCTAGCATTTCAACATAAGCCCTTGCCATGTGGTTATTGCCCTCATTTACTAGTTTGGCTCATTTGGCAGTGAGAATGCCTATATATCTTGTATTTCAGCAACAAGTCACTATTACCAACTGTGAACTACTGCCGTGGAGGCAGGTTCACCTACTGACCAGTGGTCATCACAGTTTTGGGAAAATTAGCTTCTTCAATTCCACCAGTTTCCACTGTAACCACAGGCACCTCTCACTATTGTAACTGCGAGAGGTGTTACAATCATTGTGTTTTAGGAAAATAAATTAGCAGAATTTAAACTAATGAGCTTTTAGTTGTATATTAATTAGCAGTGAGCAATGGCATTTGACCCCCTTTCCCGAATACTGTTCTTTTATCAGCCATAAAGCAAAGCACCTTTACCTATAAGTTGATTTATACCTATGGCCCCAACATTACACTAGTCTGAAGTCACAAACCAAAGATAGATTTGACAACAAATTCTACAAGGATTCATAAATTGATGATTTTGATAATAAAACACAAGTAAAATAGAGCTTTAGGAAAATTTAAACCAAGGAGCAACAGACTAAAATGTTGTTACACTAACATCAGCTACAACAACAGGACAGACTAGATGATGTTATTACCCATAGAATGATTGAATGGTGTACAATTGAGAAAAGGCAACATATATAATTACTGAAGATTTGAAGGCTCTTAATCAGTCTTGTCATTCAAGGGGCTTTGAATTATTGACCTTACAGCTGTATAAAGTTCCCTTTTCATGTTGAAACACAAACAGAAATAATGTCTGAACTTTCTCATGAAGGCTCTCCTATCAGACTTATATTAGAGGATGCAAAGTTGGTTTCAAACCAAAAACACCTTAATTAAAACATACACAAGTGAAGAAAAGGCAGGCTTGGCTACAAAAATCCATAAACTGGAAAATCTCAGAAACAAACGGCTTTAACACAGGAAGTTACAAACGCCAGATGTGCTGCAACAACAGTATGCACCATATGAACATACAGCTCAACTGCTTATCACGCAACATTTAAATTAAAAAAGCGGCAAGAAAAGCAAAATAATGAAATAACATTAGTTGTAAGCTAGATTGGAGCTGTAGAACAGAAATTTACACAATGTGTAGTGAGTCACGAAAAGAAAGGACACATGGCCTTCATAAAAATGCATTAAAGTGAAACGTTCTTTTGTCAGGCAGATACTACTGTGATAGACTTCTCCTTTTGACAGCTGCATTTCAGACTATGCTCATTGTCTCACAGTTGCCCCAATACCCCAATAATAGGCTCAGATTCTCAAGAGATTATACTCATGCTCATAGTCAGATTCCAGATTTGTCGACAGGCTCTACACTTACTAATTTTTATAATTACACAGATCCCACTTCACACAACAGCTAGGGACACTTGCTCTCCTATTGATAAGCTTTTACACACACAGAAAGCTAGACACATCTTTTGTGCTGTATTAACAATGTGAGTGCTCATGGTGCACCATGAATTAGGAGTGCTGCTCCTTGGTTTATGTATGCTCATGATGCACCATGAGTTGAAAATGCTGCTCCTTGGTTTGCATTTTTCTGCAAGGCTATAGGATGATGTTTGTGATTCTTGTATATGGACTAATTGCTGAGACCAAATTACATTTAGTTTGTGATAAATGGTGCTTTCTTCTTAGGCTTCACACAGATTTTTCTGTCAGACCTGTCCTGTAATGCACAGTTTACAGTGTAGTTGGAATATATGGTTTGATGTGTGTTGGCCTCAAAACTCTAGGTATCCACCCACCCTGCCCACATGAGATGATAAAGTTCTTGTTTAGTAGGTGTAAACAAATTGGCTGAGTGCATCCTATAATATGATAGAAGCCCAGGAATAAAAAAAATGGACATCAAGTATTCATCATTGATTTCTATGGAGACCTACCACGCACAATCCTGATTCTTTGTCATAGCACACCACAGTACGTGAACATGCATGGTTACATAGGCTGAGCATGAATATTTATGGCTATGGAGGAGGAATGAGGAGTATGCCCATACCCCTTCAGTGTAGTTTGTATCATGGAAAAATAATAGCAACCAGGAGAAATGATCTAACACAGCTAATTACCATTTTCAATTAAATCTGTGGGCAAAGAGTGTCTGGAGTGGGTTTGAATGTGACAAAAGACTTTATGATTGTCAACCAATCCTGAAATTGGCTAGATTAGACAATGATCACCTCATGTCTGAAGTCTTCTTTAAAGCTTAACTTTACCTTAAAACACTTGTTTGTAAAATTGCACCAAATATTAACCTTACTCACTTTCAACTATGTGCTTGATAGGTCTTGGAGGCTCAGATGCAGTAAAGCAAATTCTTCTTGAGATCCTTGGCAGCATATCAAAGAGGGACCAGAAGTCCCTTACTATGATGACATTTTCTTCAATAGGAGCTGATGCAATTTTCATCAGTTCATTTCTGTCAGCATTTTTGATTCCTGCAGAAGACAGATACAATGTTACAAACATAATTTGCCATTTTCTATTATTTTTAAACAAGACATAAACATGGCCTTTGACCCTAAGCATATTCTAGACTTCTAGATAAAATATCAACCTCTCAAAATAAAAAAATCTCTGAAGTGTACAAATGGGATTGTCAACCAAAAAGTGAATGTGAAATAGGCTACCAAGCAAGGTACTGTATAAATAAAATTGTAGCCATAGAATTTATACAATACTATTAAAAATCTCACCTATAGCATATATTGTGACTCCTCTATCTTGCAGCTGTTGGGCTTTCTCCTCTACTGCATCACCTGATTTACCATCAGTTAACAGCACAACAATCTGTTCAGGAAAAAACACATAGTTATATAGTGACTGTGGTCTTTTTCAGTGTAAAGTGTATGTACCCAGTAGCAATGAATTTATCTTATTTGCTTCTATTTGGTGAGTTAAATATACGATGCAAAAATACTTATTGGTCATGTCAGACATTCAGAACTGTCCTGTGTCTTCTGCACATGTCCTGTGTTATTACATGGAGTTCACTTAGCCCTCCTAGTTCTTATCTTAGAATACAGAATAATTAATGTTTATGTTGCAAAGATTAGGAGCGTGGGGAGGTGTGAGTTTAGCAAATGACAACTAGGCAGAGCAGACACCACACGCTTCCAAAAAACGCTGTGTGTTGTCAGCCTACAAAAGGACATACGATCTGAGTGCATTTCTGGCAGATTTACAGGTATTTTTCTGTACTTATAGGTTCTTTTTTTTATTTTGCCCTGACATACACTTTAAACTCTCTAACACATTAAAGCATTGTTCACCAAAAGAGATGCATAGCAAAACAGCAGAGGCACTTCTGAATTTACTTATGTATCTCAAATGTATAACAGGATAAACTTCCCTCTCTGTCCCAATTTTTTCCCCTAACATACCTGTTGATCCTGCCAGAAATACATTAGACAATTCACTTTCTTTCTTTCTTTGAGTCCTAATGTGTATAGATCAACATTGAAATTGACATCAGCAGTGTCACACTTCCAGGTGCAACAACTCACTGGACTATAGGGGAATGTGCCAAAACAACCTATGATGGCATATCCCTATCTTAAAATGTGTTAAATTCCTTCTAGGGTTTCCCTGGAAATGTCTCTCTTCTCTTTATGACTGCAAGACATAAAGGGGGTGATTTGCTTTGTCAATTACTCCTCTAGGGCACACCTCTACTTGGGAATCAAGGATGGGTTTATTTGAGTTGCTGCCTACATATCACTCGCTAGAAAGTGCAACCTACATACACAGTCTGTTAAGAAAAAAATCACAGCTGCATTCCCTACAGGTGCAAGTGGTTTCAAGCGCTCAATAATAATAATAACATTTCCTAGAGGCCAAGATTGTTCACCAAGATTGCAACCAATTACTAACCATGCACTTCCTGGCCTCTAAACTGTGGTCGGGTGACTTAAAATGGCCAGTCATGGGGGTTTTCTTATGTTCTAGCTCCCTCCTTATAAACTTCAGGATTCGCAATAGCCTTTATTCAGTGCATGTTGGAGCAGAGATGGAGTAGTTAGGGAAAGATAACAGACTTCAGGAAAAGCTAGGTGCTACTTCGGGTGCTAAATGCTGAAAGCGTCTATCTATATTTGCATTCACAGACACACTAACATCGAGTTGTACAGTGCTATAGCAGTTAGGGATAGATTTTTGAGTGTTTCCATGCAGTATTAAATGCTGCTGAATATTGCTGAAAACAGCTATCTAGATTTACACTGAATCACAGACACACTATCCAGGTTTTATGCAGTGCAGTAGCAGATTAGGGTGACATTACAGTTAGCCTGCATGGAGAATACTGTACATGGAGTCAGTACAATATCTTAGTTTGTTTTCTGTGAAATAAAACTCTAGTTTTGATTTTCTGATTATAAACCTGACTGGTGTCTCCCTGTGAAACTGCAGCCTACGAAAGAACATCATAAAGGTGTATATTTATGAAAACAAATTGCATAATTTGCTCTTCATCCAGCGAAATAGCATTCTTTATATGCAAATCAGTAAACCAGTTGTTGTGAGAATGGATCAAAATCTAATGTACTTAAGCTATTTCTCTTCTAGTCAAATGTACTTAGGTTATTTTCTCTTTAATAGAAAACAGCACCCACCAGTGATACTGTATGTGTAAAAGAAAACACATGTATGTAACTTGATATTTTGTAAAAATTTGAAATCCATTACAAATGGCTTAACCCACAGCTGTATGTAGCATTCAATCCAGTGTCTCTGGATGTAATACAGTAAAGGACATGAACAGTGCCTGCTGGAGTAACAGAAAGATCATGACTGATGTGACAAATATGAAAAGGTACCTGCAGAGAGAGGGTGGCAGTTCCAGAAAAGGAAGGTATCTGAACATTAGCAGCGGTCTCCAAATTCACTTCTATAGCTAGGCAGATACAGCGGTTCGGGTATTGTAGTAAATGTGGATCTTGTAACAGGTACCTGGGACCTTGCTGCTATAAGATCAACATTTTCAGCAGCATTCCAGGTACCTGCTAAAAGATCCCCATTTACTACAATACCTAAACCGCTGGATCTGCCTGGTTATGGCAGTGAATCTGGCAGCTTCAGCTTCTCAAACACCCATTTCCCACAGGCACTGTTTGTTTATTTATTTGGCATGTCAGTCATTATCCTTTTGTAACTCCTGAAGGCACTGTTCATTTATTTATTACAACAATGTTTTGAAATATTGCTCAAAACAATTACCATACCATAAAAAAATTCTGTTGATGGGTGGTAAAATGTGGGGGTCTGGACCAGGCCTTTTCTTTATTTCTTTGAGAGACCAGTGGCCTCCCACTCTTTGAATAAAAGTCTTTAATCTGGTTCTGTTTCTGATTCAGAAACATCCTGTTTTTAACTTTAGAGACATTCCTGTCTACTGACAAGGTTGGATTCAATGAAGTCATTACTCTGGCAGGCAAATTAAAAAAAATATATAAACATTAAAAAGGGCAACAGAAAAAGGGCAGCTTTGCCTGTGTCAGGAACAAGTGGCAAACCAAAGGCAATTTGTGTGAGGGTAGCCAGCCTATGCATTTTGGTTTCCCCCCTGCAGCTGTGCCTCCAGTGCGGTGAAGCCAAGCACCAGATATAATACATGTAAAGACAGTTGTAGCAAACATGGGGGACAAAAGAGAGGGTCCCTTGGAGTACACCTCTGTTGCACAAAGGCCTTTTCCCATTAGAGGTTTCCTCTTTATCTATGTCTATGGGCCAGTGGATCCAGCCACGATCAGGAGATTTTTCCTCATTGGGATGGAAGGGGGTTAGGGGAATGTGGGGTTGTGTTTTAAAGTTTTTTTCCTGTTAACTCTTTTTTTAACATTTATATTCATTATCACTATAGAGCATTTATTTCATTTATTTAGAGTTTGAGGAATTGTGAATTGAACCCAAGCTGAACTATTCATCTACCCGCTTCTTTTGGCTTGCTCCTGTATAATATTCGCAGTTATATAGGTTGACAGTTCTACCCATTGGCTATTAATATTTTGTCTTCAATGACATTGTGCAAAGACTGTGTGACTGTTATGGACTGCAGTTATATTTGCAGTACATATGAAAGGTCATAGTTGACTGTGACACCCCTAAATTATTATAGTGTGATTTATTAATATGTCTCCCAAAAGTTTTTTCTATTTAGTTTTAGTTTTATTGCTTGTAGTCAAACACTAGGGAGTGCCAAAACCACTCTTTAAAAGTCCAGAGCAGTATTTTATTGATTCCACAAAAAATCTGGAAGATGACAAGAGATACCCAATGCATTTCGACGACTGAACAATCCCCCTTTAACAGGACTTAAGCAATTCCTTGCACACACTCAAAATGACCCTTATTCAGGAGCAGTGGCGTAACAACCGGGGGGGGGGGGCGGCCGATGCGCTGGCCCAGGGCGTAAAGCTGAAGGGGGCGCTGGCCGAAAATTGCACTTTTGGCTCAATGCCGAAAATGCAATTTTCATGCCATTTTGTCAGCACAGCCGTGATTTTTTTCCTCCCCACTGGGCGCTGCTATTTGTCCCAGCAGGGAGGAGAGAAAGTGACAGCCGGCCAAGCGCTGCGGGAGGAGACCGCCGTGAGCGGCCAGTGTCTCTCCTCCCACACCGCTCAGCCGCCTATCACAGTGCGGCAGAGCGGTGTGGGGGTGGAGACAGCCCACGCTGTCACAGGAGGCTGGGCTCTCCTCCCACACTGCTCGCCCAGCTTCCTGTGACAGCGTGTCAGAGAGGAGAGCGAGAGCGAGAGCAAACACTCAGCGATCAGTGATCGCTGAGTGTTTGTAGATAATTGAGGATATGGTATGGTTACTGTATCCTCAATTATGAATAAATGGAAGTGATCTACATCACCTCCTGTTCATTCATAATTGTGGTTATAGTAAACATACTATGTTATCAATGAACAGGAACACTCATAAAGGATTCCTGTTCATTGATAACAGGGAATACAGAAAAAGAGATTGAGGACTCTGTGTCCTCAATCTCTTTTTCTATTTTAAAAGGGAAATATCAATTTAAAAGTTTATAAAAAAATAACTAAAAATAAAATATTTTTAAAATGTGAAAAATTAAAATAAAAGCATGTGTGGGGGTGCTGGGTAAAGTTCCAGTGGATGTTTATATAATGGGGGGGCGCAAAAAAAATGTCTGCCCCGGGCGCCCATAACTCTGGTTACGCCACTGTTCAGGAGTCTGGGCTTGTGTATCGGATCAAGAATGGGCAGCAAGTGGGTGTCATTATTAGACAGTTTTGCAACCAGATTCAGGCTTGTTTGAATGAGCTGAGAAGGGTGAGTCTGTGAAGGTTCTCATTCATCCAGGTCATGGTATATCTCTAGAAAATAAGCCAAGGCAACTGGACTTGCTGTATTTTATTCCTGTATAATATTTAGCTGCTTTGAAGTTATATAGGTTGACATACATATAGGTTAAATACAGCAAGTCCAGTTGCCTTGACTTATTTTTACAGATATGAGAAGGGTGAGACTCCAGATAGTGAGCAGCAGTGATCCTGGGGAAGGCCTAACTGCACAGTATTCTGCCTAATTTAAAGATTCCACTAAGTGCTGTTGTCTCCCATATGTGAAAACTGTTATGCCTAGGAACACAGAACTTAGGAAAGCTTAGAGCTTAAGACTGGGCTGCGTTCCAGAGTGGTAGCTGCTGGAACTCACCACAATCGCTCACAAAACTTCCACCTGCATTCTGGGGAGGGAGGGGGTGTGGCGGTGCATTGAAGTCAATGGCACCGCAGCCACACACACCGCCCACAGTGCGATCGGACGCATGGCAAAACATTGCCTGCATTCTGTTCCACTGCAAACGCAAAAAAAATGTTGCTTGCTCTATTTTTTTGCGTTTGCAGTGGAATAGAACACAGGCAATGTTTTGCCACGCTTCCGATTGCACTGTGGGCTTGGGCGCACGGCTGCAGTGCCATTGACTTCAATGGACCACTACGCCCCCTCCTGCCCCAGAACACAGGGTGAAGTTTTGTGAGCGATTGCAGTGCGTTCCAGCAGCTACTGCTCTGGAACGCATCGCAATTGGTGTGAACAAGCCCTAAGAGTGAAGATGTGTATATAACATCTGTATGTGATGTTGCATGATTGCTGTTCTGTGATGGTTCATGATTGCTGTTCTGTGATGGTTCATGATTGCTGTTCTGTGATGGTTCATGATTGCTGTTCTGTGGGACATGGGTTTAAAAAAAAACTAACTTTTTCCTGCTAAATCCAAAATGAAAAGAAAATGTCTTTAGATATACTTTAGGATTTGTCTCAGAAAGTGTATTTATACTTGATTTATGTTGCTTGTGTAAAGGATATATTTAAAAGTGCAGGAGAATACATAGCATGCAAATAATTTTCTATCATAGTCAACATGATCTGCAAAGAGAGTTCTGTGCTTGGAATGATTAGATATAGCTGCAAATGCCTTATCAATCTTGCAGTAGTTTTCCTAACATAAAAGTGTGATTTACTGAACTTATGAAATAGGTGAACCTGGGATGAAAGTAGTTCTGAAAAGTTGTATGTAAAATGAATGGTATGGTAATGTGTTTACCTACCTTGGGTACATCTTCTCTGGAGATGGATGGATTAAACACCCTGTTTGCCAAATAACCAAGTGCTTCCCCAGTCTTGGTGTTACCTCCTTTATATGCAATGCTTTGGAGAGCCAGTAGCACGTCTTGAGTGGTTTCATAATCTGATAGTTCAATACTCATCCTAGAATGATTAGAACAAGCAGATGATGTTTAGATCCCAACAGTTTTAGTACCCACAATGTATACAACAAAGATTGCACATTCCTTCAGTGAGTAATCTACTGGTGGCAGATATGTGTACTATAGTAACTGTGACATGGCGACCATGGTTATGACTTAGGGGCTTTCTTAAGTTGTTGCAATACCATGACAAACAAAATACACTGACAAAGACTTGACAGAAAAAAATTAATAAATGACACCAACATTCTACTTTCAACATATAAGGTATATTTCAATATATTGATTCAGAATGAACAGTCTGTATGAATAAATAGTACTCTATAAACTTTTAAAGATCTGGCTACATTACCATTTGTATTAAGCCCAGTCATGATGTGACAGACGTTTTGCCCTTTGAGGTGGCTTCAGCGGCACATCTGGCTGGTGGGTAGGCTCCTTAAAGCTGTGGTGAAGCAACTGAGGTTGCCTGCTAACCATTTGTAGCATTAAAATATTACATTCAAAAAGTTATTAAGCTATTTCAAATTCTGATTAAATCACTTACAATGGATGCCGTTCCTTGAGGTTTAAACATTTGTGTTCTGCAGAATTAGCTGGTCCCCTTGAGCACTGGCCCTGATATCTTGTTTTAGGGTGGATTCACCCTTTTGTGTGCTATTAGGCTGAGTCTGTCTTCAGAAACACACAGGCACAGCAAGGCAAGCCAATTCCCTGCTCTCTGATCCTCCCTTTTCTAAGCCAGTAGGTGGATAGCTACTGGAGACTGCTCTGGCCCTTGTGCTATTGTATTCAACAAGAATTTCAGGGTAGCAGAGCTGAGAGAGTTGGAACCAGCTGTTTAGAAAATGATGACTGTAAGGCCCCATTCACACACAAATCGGCGTGCACGTATAGCGCCGTGCGGGGCCGTACCAAGCAGCTGCCGGGAAGGTCCTTCTCTATGGGGCTACGCGGCCGTACGCCCCCCTACGCTCACCTCATTTGCAGGTCTGTAGGTTTGCAGGTGATCGTATTCATACGCCGCCGGAATGGATCCTGAATGCGTCCCGGCCAGAAAACCCGCACCCCTACGGACCTGGGGCTGCGTTCTAATTACAAGCAGCACCTGTCCTTCCCGGCAGCTGCTTGGTACGGCCCCGCACGGAGCACGGAGCTATACGTGCAGGCCGATTCGTGTGTGAATGGGGTCTAAGTGCTTGGGCAAATTTTAAGAAATACTTTGCTGGGTAATGTTTATTTGATTGATCTGGATTCATTATTGAAAAAAAAGTTTGAGAGTTTAAAAATAGCACCATGGTAAAGGTTTACTTTAAGCATCAAAGTAGGTATTGGGTTCATTTACAGAAGTGTGAAAGAATGTGTACATATTACATTTTTTATCCTCCATTCGTTTTTATATTCCACCATGTTCTCTCTCTCTTATGACTTTCTCTTTCTAAAAATGAAACTGTAAACAAGTACCAGCCTTTAGCAAGAACTAACGGGTCTTCTCTGAAGGTCATTTCATTGATAAGAATTAGGTGCATGTGCAGTCAAAAGTATGATAATTAGACATGTGCAATTTGTTTCGTTCCGAATCGAAATTCGGACGAATTTTCGGAAATTCGGACATTCGGATGTATCCGAATTCCGAATTACAGACATAACGAATGCAAACGAATCTGAATTTCCATTTCCGAAATTCGGTAGCGGTAGTTCGAACGTTCGTTTCGTTTTCGGTTCTTATTCAGTTCTTTTTCGTTTCTTATTCGTTTCGTTCGTTGAAGCAAAGTGACATTAGAGAAGGAGAAAAATATTTTTCCCCCTCAATGTCACGAACGAAACGAATAAGAAACGAATAAGAACAGAAAACAAAACGAACGTTCGACCTACCGCTACCAAATTTCGTCCGAATCCGAATTCCGAATCTGAATTGACTTTCACACCCGAATCCCGAAAAACGAAATAACACAAATCCGAATTTAAAACGAAACGAAACTAAACAAATTTTTTGGCAGTGCACATGTCTAATGATAATTACAAAGCATATACAGTACTGTGCTTGTTAATTAACTTTAGGAATTGTTTTTGAGCTGAGACTGTGTGTCAGTTTGCAATCCTTGCATGATCATGCTAACAAAAGGGCAATTATTTATACAAGCGACTGTTCACTTACCAAAGCTTATGTTCGCTTTGGTACCCAATGCGAACACAACTTCACATTATTTCTTAAAGCCCATTTCCACCTTTGCAGAGGTATTTTTAAAAAAACCATTTGCCAGCAATGTAGTGTACATGAAGCAGGCATATGCAGTTTCTGTATATGAACACAGAAACGTATGTTTTTTTGTTAGCTTTCCTCTCATCTCCTCATGGAAATGGCTTCTTCTGTGGTTTGCAAGCAATTTGTGTATACTACAACTGAGCTCTCCACCCCCCCATTCATTAGTATTCATAGTGGCAACCTATCCTGGACAGTGTATTGTGTGAAAAAGCAAACCTGGTATTTATTGATCGTGTTACACAGAATCACAGGGAGGGGGGCAGCTGTTTATAGCCTGCTTTTCAATCTGACCCCGGTGTCAGACTGAATTTCCTTTCAAGAACATTTTCGAATTTCCAGGAATCAGGCCTAATAAAAAGTTGATAAAAAATTAAGAATGCCCGCACTGTGAGTAAGGACAGTGTATTATGTGCAAAGGTAGAGCTGGTGTTTACTGATCATGTTACACTGAATCACAGGGAGGGGGGCAGCTGTGTACAGCCTGCTTTAAAATGTGACCCCACTGTCGGACTGAATTTCCTGTGGAGAAAATTTTTAATTTGTAAGATTCAGGCCTAATAAACACTTCATAAAAAAATGAAGGAAGCCTGCAATGTGAGTCATGAAAATGTGCACACATATACATCATCACTGCACCTCCACATCACCACAATACATGCTAATCACTTATAAAGGTGGATGTGGACTAAATGAACATTAGCTGTGCAAACAGAACATACACTTTGCTAAGTGAACAGTTTTTAATTTCTTTAGTAAATAAACCCCAGGATCTAATTACCTTGTTGAATCTCCATAAACGGCAACTCCAAAACGTATTCCTTCCTTCCCAAGTACCTCTGTGTTATGAAATGAACCAATCATACTCCTTACGAAGTCTTTAATAATCTGGAAGTTTTCCTCTCCAACACTCCATGATTCATCTATTAAAAATACAATGTCTGCTGCCTCGGCAGATCTGCAGTCTGTGTAAAAGGTAAATCACAATGCCATTTATTAGCTGCATTCCAAATAAAAATATGACTAAACAATGATATACATTTGTGTGCTATGACTATAATAAACATTAAACTAGTGTAAATTTAGTCGACTAAAATGTTTTGTCATAGTTTTCATCATCTGCATATTTTTACTGATGAAAACTAAATAAAAACGAAGTTAATAGGAGTAAAACTATGATGAAATTACATTGTAATTTTCTCTACTGAAGATTTAGTCGACAAAACTAAACTAACAGGGTTATTCACAAAGCTGCCGAAGGCAGCAGAGTGAATAACCCAGCCGAAGTGAAGTGAGCCGAACACTGTTTGGCTATTCACTTCTGGCTTGTACGGCTGATTTGAGCCGGACATCAGCTCAAATCAGCCGTATATCGGCTGCCTTCGGCTGACTTCGGTCAGCCGAACATGCTCAGCATGTCCGGCCGAGCCGCAGTGCAGAAGGACTTCGACTCAGCTGATCCAACAGCTGGATCGGCTGAGCAGAAGCAACGGCAGCTCACTCGCTGCTGTTCGCCCCTGTTCTCGTACGGCATTTGGCTCGGCTATTCTGCTGGGTACCTCCGTGGTCTCATAGGGTCCGAACAGCAGTGAGTAAATAACGAATGCCGATGAGCGGCATTCGGCTCGGCTATTCTGCTCGGTACCTCCATGGTACCGAGCAGAATAGCAAATAAGTGAAAAGAATGGAGGAAAAAACAAGTAGAAACATTATTTTAAAAATGAAAATAAATAGGAGAATTAAAAAAAATAAAGATTTTTTTAAAGAAAAAAAAACAATTGGGTGGAGCTAGCAGTGACAGCTAACCATGGTACCGAGCAGAATAGCAAATAAGTGAAAAGAATGGAGGAAAAAACAAGTAGAAACATTATTTTAAAAATGAAAATAAATAGGAGAATTAAAAAAAATAAAGATTTTTTTAAAGAAAAAAAAACAATTGGGTGGAGCTAGCAGTGACAGCTAGCTCCACCCAATTGTTTCCTATTGGCCGTCACCTGCCAGAGTCTTCTAGTACAGTGATTCTCAACCTGTGTAACCTCAGGACCCACATTTGTCCTTGGTCATTAAGTCGTGACCCAAGTCGCACTGCAATGGAAGGCACGGCATTGCGGTACTGCGCATTCTGGTGTGGGTGATTGAATAGTGTGGTGTGTTGGAGGTGTGTTTGGAGTGCCATTAAAATGAATGGCAACGCAATCCACCTACTGCACCAGAACACATAATAGGTGCGACTGCGTGGTAAAGCAAAAAAACCTTTAAAAGTGGAAGGCATGCGGCGACCCAATGCACACAGGGTCGCAACCCACTTTTGGATCACGACCCACCAGTTGAGAACCAAGGTTCTAGTAGGTCCCAGCCGATGAATTACAACTGGCCGGGATCATGGCTGATCACGGCTGGCTCCGCTCAGCTGTCATTTGCGTGGAGATTGGTCAGCTTCGGCTCCATAGTGACTAACCCCCTAAAACGAAAAGAATTCAGATGACTAAAATACGCATTTTAGTTTTTGACGCATTTTAGTCATCGGAATGGGTTATTCGGCAGCTTTGTGAATAACCCTGTTAGTTTAGTTTTGTCAATTAAATCTTCAGTACAGAAAATTGCAATGTATCTGCGTCATAGTTTTCCTCCTATTAACTTTGTTTTTATTTAGTTTTCATCAGTGAAAACATACAGATGATGAAAACTATGACAAAACATTTTAGTCGGCTAAATTAACACTGCAATAAACATCAAGATGTTTTATTTCATATAAGAAAAGAATTCTGATCTAAACATTAAAAAAATCCCTAGTTTTAAAAGGCTGGACTATTTAGATATCTATATAGAACATAGGTAGGCAACCTCAGCATTCAAGCTGTTATGGAACTGCAAGTCACACAAAGCATTGCGAGACTCCCAAAGCCACAGGCATGACTCCCAGGGGCAGAGGCATGATGGGCTTTGCAGTTTCACTACAGCTGGAGTGCTGAGGTTGCCTACCTCTGATATAGGATAATAAAGCTTTTTGTATCTTGCCACAGGTGAGAGAGTTGAGAGACAACAAAGAATCATTTGTTGTCTATGCTTGTCCAGCTTTAAAAAAGATCTAAAGCCAAACCTTTTTTTGAATTTAATCCTCTTTGGGTCACAGGAGTATATTTACTAATGTACTCCTGTGACCCAAAGTCAGCATCTAGTGGGCTACGGCCCGCTATTGCTATTAGCTGATAGCACAGAGCCACACTGAGGCCGGGGAAGATCCCAACAATATTGTCGGATCCACCCCACTGCCTGATTGACAGCTTGCTCTGCCTCACTACATCCAGAGTCAGCTGTGCCCACCTCCTCCCATGTCTGTCCCTCCAATGAGCACTGGAGAAATAGAGAGAGGGAAGGGGGAATCCTTGCAGGTTGCGGTCACTGACAGTGATAGCCATGAGCAGTCAGCCATTTGTGATTGCTCAGATATTGATCCAGAGCCGGCCTGCTACAGCTGCAGTGTCACTCACCAGATCAAAGTATTGGGAAGAGTACATTTCACTCTCCCAATACTTCTCTTTTAATGATCAACTCCAGCTAAGACTTTACTTTTTGGGGATTTAAAACTTTAGATTTGTATTGCTGTCTATAAATGCCAAGGGGAGATTTCCTTTAACTTTTTATCCTTGTGAGGCCAGGATACGAAATTAGGGGAATGAGGCTCACTAGGGCAGGAAGGCAAAGAAAGCAAAGAATAAAAAATAATAAAAAATTCCTAGAAGTTCTAAAACTTTCACACTCTACAAACAAAAATATTTTTGTTGGTATTTTTAAAGAAAAAAAAACAATTGGGTGGAGCTAGCAGTGACAGCTAGCTCCACCCAATTGTTTCCTATTGGCCGTCACCTGCCAGAGTCTTCTAGTACAGTGATTCTCAACCTGTGTAACCTCAGGACCCACATTTGTCCTTGGTCATTAAGTCGTGACCCAAGTCGCACTGCAATGGAAGGCACGGCATTGCGGTACTGCGCATTCTGGTGTGGGTGATTGAATAGTGTGGTGTGTTGGAGGTGTGTTTGGAGTGCCATTAAAATGAATGGCAACGCAATCCACCTACTGCACCAGAACACATAATAGGTGCGACTGCGTGGTAAAGCAAAAAAACCTTTAAAAGTGGAAGGCATGCGGCGACCCAATGCACACAGGGTCGCAACCCACTTTTGGATCACGACCCACCAGTTGAGAACCAAGGTTCTAGTAGGTCCCAGCCGATGAATTACAACTGGCCGGGATCATGGCTGATCACGGCTGGCTCCGCTCAGCTGTCATTTGCGTGGAGATTGGTCAGCTTCGGCTCCATAGTGACTAACCCCCTAAAACGAAAAGAATTCAGATGACTAAAATACGCATTTTAGTTTTTGACGCATTTTAGTCATCGGAATGGGTTATTCGGCAGCTTTGTGAATAACCCTGTTAGTTTAGTTTTGTCAATTAAATCTTCAGTACAGAAAATTGCAATGTATCTGCGTCATAGTTTTCCTCCTATTAACTTTGTTTTTATTTAGTTTTCATCAGTGAAAACATACAGATGATGAAAACTATGACAAAACATTTTAGTCGGCTAAATTAACACTGCAATAAACATCAAGATGTTTTATTTCATATAAGAAAAGAATTCTGATCTAAACATTAAAAAAATCCCTAGTTTTAAAAGGCTGGACTATTTAGATATCTATATAGAACATAGGTAGGCAACCTCAGCATTCAAGCTGTTATGGAACTGCAAGTCACACAAAGCATTGCGAGACTCCCAAAGCCACAGGCATGACTCCCAGGGGCAGAGGCATGATGGGCTTTGCAGTTTCACTACAGCTGGAGTGCTGAGGTTGCCTACCTCTGATATAGGATAATAAAGCTTTTTGTATCTTGCCACAGGTGAGAGAGTTGAGAGACAACAAAGAATCATTTGTTGTCTATGCTTGTCCAGCTTTAAAAAAGATCTAAAGCCAAACCTTTTTTTGAATTTAATCCTCTTTGGGTCACAGGAGTATATTTACTAATGTACTCCTGTGACCCAAAGTCAGCATCTAGTGGGCTACGGCCCGCTATTGCTATTAGCTGATAGCACAGAGCCACACTGAGGCCGGGGAAGATCCCAACAATATTGTCGGATCCACCCCACTGCCTGATTGACAGCTTGCTCTGCCTCACTACATCCAGAGTCAGCTGTGCCCACCTCCTCCCATGTCTGTCCCTCCAATGAGCACTGGAGAAATAGAGAGAGGGAAGGGGGAATCCTTGCAGGTTGCGGTCACTGACAGTGATAGCCATGAGCAGTCAGCCATTTGTGATTGCTCAGATATTGATCCAGAGCCGGCCTGCTACAGCTGCAGTGTCACTCACCAGATCAAAGTATTGGGAAGAGTACATTTCACTCTCCCAATACTTCTCTTTTAATGATCAACTCCAGCTAAGACTTTACTTTTTGGGGATTTAAAACTTTAGATTTGTATTGCTGTCTATAAATGCCAAGGGGAGATTTCCTTTAACTTTTTATCCTTGTGAGGCCAGGATACGAAATTAGGGGAATGAGGCTCACTAGGGCAGGAAGGCAAAGAAAGCAAAGAATAAAAAATAATAAAAAATTCCTAGAAGTTCTAAAACTTTCACACTCTACAAACAAAAATATTTTTGTTGGTGTCTGTGTCCCCATGGGTTGGATTTCCCATCAGATCCCGTCACTCTGCCTCCTCTACACCACCCATCACTGGGACAGGAAAAGAGGAAATCTCTCCAGCTGGACAGACAGAAAGCAATTCAAACCTGTCAGAGATTGTAACACTGCCCTACTATATTCAAAACAACTAGAAATGCATAAATTAAATATAACATTTTACAATAAATCACCTGTGTATTGCTTGTAAGGGTCTTACTGAATGTCATACCTTCTAATTGGGCCAGTGCTGTCCATTTGGTCAAAAAAGCTGTAAGTGCGAGAAACCTAAAATGTAATAATATCTCCATAGTGTTCAATTCTGTCCGTTGGTGCTTCTTTTATTACTCTTAATGTTGAAGTTCTATTGATAAAAAAATATGTTGTTATAGCATCTGCAAGGTCATATTGGAAAATCTCCACAAAAAAAAGGCGTTCCAAAGAGAACTGAGCCATGGAAATAGAGACTCTGGTATATTAGTAAGATATCGGTAGATACAAGTGGTATTGTGAACACCCTCCCTTCCCTTCCCCACCCTATCAAAACTAACAGGGCTTGTTGCTGCCCATTTAAAGAGAGCCTGACATCAACACATTCTCAGTGTTTAAAATAATTATAAACTGTATACTGAAAAAAGTAAAATAAATGAAAGTGCAGCAGTTCTCAATCCTCATCTCTGCCTGTTTTAAAGAACATTTACATCCTTGAAAACACAGTGTTGTAATATTTTATTGGACTGCTTTTAGCTTTAATTACGGCATGCATTTGCTATGGCATTATTTCTATAAGCTTATGCAATATCACAGTTCCGTCCAGAGTTGCATTAATTTTTCACCAAGACCTTGTAGTGATGGTGGGA